TACTCGATGAGTCATCTACCCTTCATCTTCTAGAATTACCTTACTTCCAATCTTTCTTGGAAACCGTATACCAAATCCATTGCAAAATTAGTATCTTCTAAGGTTTTGTTTCTTTATTGAGCTCGACACTTTCTTATTACGGATTCTATTCTTTATCTCTTTTAATCTTAAATCCGGCTTTATATGGATTATTGTTGCAATATCTGGGGCGGATCTTCTAATGATGACTTTTCTCTTTTAGACTAGGTACAAAAACCCATTGTAAACTTAGTTAAACCTGCTTTTGCAGCCAACTTTCAACCATTATTACATCGTCGTAATGTTGCTTCTCTTTCTCTTTTCTAAAATTATTATAATGGGCATTGGACTAAAAATCTAGCGTCTATTGTGCCATCTACAAAAACTTATTATCGTGTTACTTGTCATTCAATAAAGTCTCATTCTTTTTTCTGTGACTGTTCTTAAATGTTCCCAAAACTCTTATTTAACTAGTTTTTTTCCTCGAACATCGTTCTTTGGAATTCGCTTCCTTAATCTTGTGTTCCTGATTCATATAATTTGCAACTTTTAAAGTAGTCTGTCAATAGTTATCTTGCTCTACAATCTTCATCTTTTCTCTTCCAGTAACTTCCAACACTAATTAGTGATTGCAACATTAATTAGTGGTTCTATATATAACATTGGGGTTTTTTTATTACACTATTAAAAATCTTCCACCAGCATTTAACTCCTGTTTTAGTAATCTAGATTTGTTAGCAATGGGTTATATAATATTGCAATTTATGGCTCATAATATTGCAATTTATGTGTTCGGAAAAATTTTAGAAAAATTTGTAGCTAAAATAAATAAGTTAAATACTCTTGGGTTGAATGGAAAACTTGCGATATTAGGCAATCATACAATTTATTCAAGTTTTTGCCAAGTTGCTTTTGATTATTTGGCTCATAATGGCTTACTGAGATTTAATGAATATTTTTCAGCGAGTCGTTTTTGTACAACTTGCTATGCAACTAAAGATGATGTTCAAATAAAATTTTAAGAAGAACTTTTTGAGAAGCGTACTGTTGATAGCTACAATACTTTACTTCTTGCTAATTTAACGATAGATAAGCTGAGCAAACACTTTAACTAAGTCAAAATTTCAGAGGTTTCAAAATTCAGAAGACTGAATGACCACTTAATAAAACAAGAGATTTTAATGTTACTGAAAACTGGTGATTAGATATTTTGCATACCTTATTGGAAGATGCTGTACTTATTGAGGTAAGGTGAAACTTTCATGGTTTATGTGTATTAGACAAATGTCTAACCTTATCTGATATAAATAAAGCTATGTGTTTACTTAAGGGGAAAATAAATGTTAAAGGAACTCATAAACCAGCACAAATTATAAAAATACAAGAACCAGGTCATGTACTTGCACTCTCCATGAAAGCAGTACAATGCTGGGCTTTGCTTAAGTATTTGCCAATAATTGTCGGAGAAACTGTCCCTTTAAAAATAAACACTGGATTTTTCTGCTTCACTTGTCCCACTTAGTCAATTTAATATTTGCACCGTACTTTACTCATGAAATGTCTGTTGATATGAAATTTTAATTTCTGATCATCTATGTTTAGAAAATTATATTGTAACAAAGAAGTCAGGATGCGTCCTAAGTATATTAAGGAAAGAAAATGATACATCATTTTCTTGTACATCTGCCAACCATCATTATGAAATTTGGTCCACCTGTTGGCATGAGTTGTATATGGTACTAACTCAAAAATTCATTTTATAAGAGATATACACACATTGTCTGTAATTTTACTAACATTTGTAACTAACTAGCAAACAGGCATCAGCAGCAGGCTTTGAAGACGCAACTCTCTAATAAACACATCTGCATTGTTGTAACTATGGTTAAGCATATCATTGAATCTACTTATTGACTTCCTAATTTTAATGCTATGCAGAATACAATGTGTTTCAAATCAAGTGAAGAAATTGTTGTTGCAAATTATATGTTGCAAGTGTTATAAACAAACAAGGTCATTAAATTATTGTCAAAATAGATATGGAGACTGAATTACCAATGTTTGGAAATATTTTATGTTTTATTTCAGGTGCAAAGTGAAACGTGTGATGGAAAGAATTTAGAGGAGTGACATTTAGTTGTAGAAGTAGGAAAAACAGTCAATTTTACTTATCATTTTCATTCTTATGAAGTAGTATATCCTTATCAGCCTGTTTATGAGATCTTGAATTTACTGATTTAGTTGATTATCATCCACTTAACTGTCGTTCTTTGTTTGCTAGTTTGAAAAGAAACTCTTTGTTCGAATGCCTTATCACATTTTTTAACAATCTATTATGTTATCTATAATATATTATGTATTTAGCATACACACTGTTGTTGTTTTTTATGATCCATAAAATTTACATTTTAAATTTTTTGTATATATTCAGTATTTGTTTATTTACTATAGTTTTTAGTTTCTAATACTATTATAAAGCTCAAATTGCAGCTTTTTGATATTAAAATGTGCAGTGTTGTTTTTTATGTAAAAGATTATTTTTTTATAAGTTTTATTTTGTATATAGTTATGATATCATAATATATGATGATTATGATATATGATGATTTTTTTAGACACTTTAAAAATCCAGGCCTTTTTTCGCTTTAGCCAAAGATTTTAAGTGTATTTATGTGCATGCTTTTTTAGTTTCTTCTTTGTTAATAGAATGAGTCTTGTAAAAACACTTGCTTCTATACTCGATTTGTTAATTCTTCCTAATGAAATACAACCAAACTTAAATGGTATGTATAATTTTCTGGTGTACTTTATACTTTTCTAAAAATTTGTTGTAATTTCTTAATACTAATAATGCAAACATTTGTTTTTAGAGTAAACACTTTTTTTAGAGCCTGGATTTACATTAAATTCATTCTTATTAGCCACAGAAGATGATCTTGTTCTAGGATGGCAGAAAAGTTGCTGCAAGCGTGAATTAGACGTCAAACTATTTTACCACAAACTATTCCATCAGTAAATTAATTCACTGCTTCACAACGCCTATTGAGTAGTATTGCACTTTTTTCATCTTCATCCAGTACTAATAGCTGTCCTACTAATACAGCTCCGAGTTTGATCTGTTTAAGGTTAGTTTCAAAGAATTACTAATGGGTAAACAATGCAGTTGAAATACTAGCCTAAAAAAGCATTTTTTTAAATCATTTAAATTTCACTGCATTCATTTTAAGATCTATGGATCTTTAAATGATAAAATCGATACTTTTCTAGAATCATAAATGATCAACTCTTCATATTCAAATGATCAACTCTTCATATTATTTGATTAGAATTGTTAACGATAATGATGTTGAAAGCTCAATTTGGTTACTCCATGAAAAAAGAACAAATGTTCAAAACAAATCAGAAATTATTCACTTAATGTAGGTGTCAAGAAACCATCGACGTGCATGGATAAATGCATTAATTCCATAAATCACAGAAATTGATTGTCAATATCTATGATTCCTTGACATGCCTGAAGCAGTATGCTTAATTTTTTGTGTGTGTGCTAAAAACGTCATATACTTTATTTATTTTAGTTATGAGAAAAAATACTATGTCTTTGTGAGTTGTGTGCAACAGCAACAAAATGTATGAAGTATAATTTGTATATTAAAAAATGTTTTGTTGTGCTGTTATAGTTTTCTTTTGTACAGTTAAATATAATATAATAGTATTAATTATATTTAACTGTAGTTTTGTTAATCTTTTCTTACCATACAGTTGTATGATAAAAATTTAAACTTAAATAATTTGAAAATTGTTGTTTAATATTCTACAAATCTGAAACATTACTTTTATTATTTATTTTCAGTTTCTTAAAGAATTCCAAGAAAATACTTTTGGTGCCACTGAATATGCAGCTGCATGTTCAGTGGCACCTGCATGTTCAGTGGCAAACAAACAAAAAAAATTTCTAAAAATAATTTATGACAATCAAAGTAACAAAACTCTAGACTAGCAAAATTTTTACATTTTGCAAGTGGGTGGGCCAAAATGATAAAAAATGAAGGTTATCTATTGCGTAAATAAGTTCAACCATTAAACTCTCAAAAAAGCCTCCGCTCTACTCTAACCTATATATTATTAAATTGGTAACTGCTACTAAATTTGAAATTAAACAAAAGCTTTTACGGATGACATAAATCACACAAAAAATATCGCGAAACTGTTTGGCAACATTTTCGATGACCTGGCTAATTAGCAATATGTCAATGTAGAGCAAACTTAAATACGCCATATGTATCAGCAGCTTTTCTAGTTCTAAGTTTCTATTCACTCGCAGCTAAAACTGAATTTCATTCCGTTTTGGATGATTAATCTTTCTTATATAATTTCTTACTTTTCTGTTTACATTAAACACTATTAATCATCGGAGTTAAATTATAAAAATAAGAAATTCTTTAAATTTATTGCTAAAATTGGTTCTAAATAATAATAATAAAAAAAAACTAAAATTAAAAATACAATTATCAAACTGTAAACAGCATTGCGAAATGGTAGTATTATATTCAATTATATAAATACTAGTGTTGTCCCGATATGCCCCACAAAAGTAGATTTACTGAAAATAATACTATTCAAAAACTTCAATTCCAAATTTTTATTGGAATTGAAGTTTTTGAATTATTAGCTGGCAATATTATTATAATAATATTGCCAGCTAATTGTATAACAAGGTCGTATTTATTCGATAACTACATATTATAGCTTTGTAGCTATTAAAATGATAGCTTTAGATAAAACTACTAAATAAATAAAAAATTAATTTAAGGATATTTAATCTGTAACCTAATGATTTACAATATTAAATTCAAACCATTATTTACAGAAGAATTGTCGGTGACTCAATACTTAAACTTTGGTTGAAAAATTATTTACAGAAGAATTGTCGGTCAACAAAAATCACAAGTTTGATGTTCAAAAAATATTAACAACAAAAGTTTTACATATAAAAATGTCTTATTGCAATTTTTACAAAAATATATCATTATAAATTAGTTACAGATCTACTAAACATTTCTGTACAAGTTTTGTTAAAGCTTGTTGCTCAGGTAACAGCCTGTTAATCAGATAACAGCCTGGATAGAAATAACAATATGAAAACCAAGCTTTTAAATATAAATCTGAACATACATTATTGGCTTTAAATATTCTTTCTGTTTAAATAAATATATTAATTGATTAACCTAATTTAATCCAATATACAAACGGTACTATTTTTGATCTTCAAAACATCTTGTAGTGGTCATAATTTTTCTATGTATATACTACTCTGTCATTGTCAATAATATTTAAGAACACTCTGTTGTGGTCATCACCATATTACCCATTTTTTTAGTAATTGTTTTACAACGCCGTCCTAAAAAGATTGACAATAAAAACAATTTAATTCAAATAAAATTAAATTTAAAACAATATATTCAATAAACTAGTAGTAATTTATAATATTCAAATAATATTTTAAATTTATATCCATAGTATTTATCCCTAAAACTTTTATGGTATGAAACCACTACAATTAGTTTTCAAATATATTTATTATTGACTAATAAATATTAGTTAATTGCATAAAAACTTTGCTCCCAATTTGATGCATACACAAATAGTTTTAATGCACTAAGTTTGTTTTTTGTGTTAAATTCATCAAATTTATATGGATACATACATACATACATACATACATACATACATACATACATACAGACAGACAGACAGACAGACAGACATACATGCATACATACATATATTTTAGCAGATTTAGGCTAACACTGCACTAATATATTTTGAGTTTGATATAGAAAATTTAATGTCTTAAACCCTTGATCTTTTTAATGAAATTTAATGATCTTAACCCTTATTGATGTAAGTACCTCCCCAGTTCAGCACAAGTATATCTAAGTCTGTGTATATAAACACACACACACACATATATATTTATATATGTATATCAATTACCTTGTTGCCGGCTCTCTGAAAATGAGTGTGATTCAGAGAACATAGAATTACTACCAAAACTGCCAAACATTGAATCCCCAAATCCTCCAAAAAAACTATCATCTGATTTACTAAAAACACTATCTTCCCCTGAGTTTCTATGTGTCTGATGAAATTGGTTTCCAAAAAAACTATCAGTGTCCTCATCATCATTGTCAAAGAAACTGCCAAAATTAAAACTAAATTTATTAGAGTTACTGCTTTTCCTTCCTCCAAAATTTCCAAAGTCTTTGAAAAAGTCACTAAAATCAAAGTGAAAAGCAGATCCATCAAAACCAGCTTTTTCCTTTAGTCCTTCTGAACCATACTGATCATATATTTTTCTTTTTTTCTCATCAGAGAGAACTTCATGAGCTATAAACAATAAAAGCAATTAGTAAAACAAATAAAAAAAATTTTTAACAAATTTAGATGCATGTACATAACTAGAAATTACAAATAAAAATATACACATATATTAGAAGATATATATAAGATATGCACCTCATGAAAACTAAAAATTGTAGAGCTATTTATGTTACTGTTTTTCAACTTTAATGTTTGTATCGGAAAACTAGAAAAAACACAACTTCTAATGCAATCATCTTGATATAATTAAAATAATAAATTTTGTGTATACTTTTATATATCTCTATATCACATCAAATTAAAACGAAAGATAAGATCAAACTTAAGCAAGATTTAAGGTCCTTGATAATATTCTTTATAAGAATTATAATTACTATTTATTATATTATTATTACTTTTATGATAATTAAAATAACAATTTATTACCTTCAGCAATGTCCCTGAATATACTTTCTGCATCTTTAGATTTATTTTTATCAGGGTGATATTTAAGGGCAAGTTTTCTAAATGCTTTTTTTATATCTCTGTCACTAGCGTTTCTGGAAACACCAAGTATTTTATAATAGTCTTTTGTTGATGCAAACAACTCTTTTATTGATATACATGTAAAAGTCAAGATAATATAATCCAGCCTCATTTTTTAGAAAATAATTTCTTTTAATAAACTAAACAATAATTATAATTCTAATATTAAAAAATCTAGCAATAACAGCAATAAAACTAATGGACAAAAAAAATTTGAAATTTCTCTTTGTTTACATCAGTAATAAAATAATAAACTAATATTCTAATGTTGCTGCCATATGTCTCAAAAAATAATTTTACACAATGAACCACTTTCTATCAAAGCAGATATAATTTAATCAGATTTTAATTTAATACCCCGTGCTCAATATCTTCTAGCAAGTGAAACATCAACACCATGTTTTGCTTACCCGATACATTAATTCGCATGTTTAAAAACATTATTTATAGTCAAAAAAAGTACACTGGCACAACTTTGATTGGTTTATATAAAGTATAGTTTATACCACAAAAATATTAAAAGTTAAATACGGTTTTGCTATATTTACAAAAATTGCGCTGTTCTCAACCTAGTTTCGGCGAATTAGTTAAAGTTAAATCGAAATTTTTTATAAAACCCTCAACTTTGACAATCTAAAACTTTGATTTTAAATAAATTAAATAAATATTTGAATATTTTGAAATAAATAATAATTTATTTTTATTTTTTAATACAACTGCTTCATCTTGTGTTAATAAAATTTCTCATAGTTTTTTTTTTTTTCGTTTATAAGAATTAGATAATAAGTCTCTTTTTGAACTTCTTTGGGATTTCGCTCCATTAGTTTGCTTTAAAGTGTTTTAAATAAAATTAAAAAACGTCCATAATTTGGATTAATTATACATCAAATGAAATAGAACATTTGCAAAGTGTTTAAACTGATAAATTTCCTAAAAAACATGTTTTTTCGATTAAAGTTAGGGTAGAGTAGGGCATATCGGGACAGTGGGGGATAACGGGTAGTTATGCCTGAAGTCTTATATCTCAGGTAAAATTTTTTTTTTTTTTTTTTACCTGAGATATAAGACTTCAGGCACAATATTTTAAAATGTTTTATCAAAAAAAAAAATTTTTTTGATTAAACATTTTAAAATATTGTGCTACATTATTGTAAAAAAAATCATTTTAGAAATACCGAAATGCATTAAAAGTACCAAAATGCATTAGTTAGTTTGCGAAAAAGAAAAATTTGTGTATTTTCTTAAACGATTCAACGGCAAAAGATTTATGTTAAACTATTGTTAGTTTATTTATTTATTCTAAAGTTTATCCTTTTCGAACAGTATTTTTTATCCTCTTTTAGAATCTGGTTTTAAAAAAATATTTGGAACTGAATTTTTTGAAAAGCATAAATTTTAGCATATCGGGTCAACAAGTTTTTAATATAATTGACTATATTACTACTATTTCGTAACGCTGTTTACATTTTGATGATTTTATTTTTAATCTAAAATATTATTTTCTTATTTAGAAATTTAGAAAAGTAATTTTAATAATAAATTCAAAGAAGTTATTATTTTTATAACTTAACTTCGATTATTATTAGTGTTTAAAGTAAACAATGATGGTAAGAAATAATATAAAAAAGATCAATCATCCAAAATTGAATGAAATGAAGCTTTAGCTTTGAGTAAAAAAGAACTTGAACTACAAGCTGCTGATACACATGGCATATTTAAATTTGCTCTACATTGGCGTATTGCAAATAAGCCAGCTTAATGTTGCCATCAAAGATAATGCTAAATAGTTTCAGGATATTTTTTGTGCGATTTATGTGATCCATAATATTTTTTATTTAATTTTAAATTTAGTAGTATTTACCAGTTTAAAATATAGATGTTAGGACAGAGTCGAGGTTTTCTATAATAAGAGACAAGTTTTTTTTTTATTTTAGTTTTTTTTTGTTGATGTTGTTATTGTTTTTGTGGTGTATGGATGTATGGGCGTGTAGTTTATATGAGTATGTTACTTTTTTAGGATTTTAATGTCTAAACATGTTTAAATGAAAGATAGCTTTTATTTTTTTATCATTCTTAAAGCTTTATAATTAACTAATAACTGTTGCAACAGTCCCATTTTGCCCAACCCACTTGCAAAATGTAAAAATTTTGCTAGTCTAGAGTTTCTTTACTTTAGTTGTCGTAGCATATTTTAAGAAATTTTTTTTTTCTTATATCAATGAGTTTAAAGAAATTTTTAAAAACACTGTTAACTATGATTAATTTATCCATAGCACTTGTTTCTTAAGTGTCCCTATATGCCCCGCTCTATCCTATATATTACTTCATTTAATAAGTAAAAGTAAACAAAAAATTATATGCTGACAGTTGTAGCTCTTTTTCTTTTTTTTTTCGTAGAGGCATTTTTTATTGTTTAAATATCTGCATTGGTTAAAATAATTATAGAACCGAACAAACTCCACAACTAAAAATAGTAATCAAGAGCTTGAGACATGTCTGGAAATTAAGGCTAAAGTTTAATATCCATAATATAGGATTACACCAATTATATCATACTAAATAATTATATCATACTAAATAATTATATCATACTAAATAATTATATCATACTAAATAATTATATCATACTAAATAATTATATCATACTAAATAATTATATCATACTAAATAATTATATCATACTAAATAATTATATCATACTAAATAATTATATCATACTAAATAATATATATTTAATTTATATATATTTAAACCGTTTAACATATTAGTTAAATTGTTTTAAATAAAGAAGAAAATACTCACCTTTAATTTAAACTAATATTATTTTTAATTTCTATTTAAAAACGTTGACAAAACGTTAAAAAATCTGTTGTAAGCATACGTATTTTTATTTACTTAAACAAGTTAACCAGTGGCGGAACTTCAAAATTTGGGCCCCCCCGCAAAAGAATGTTTTTTTTGCGGAAAAGAGTTTTATAGTATAAATATTATTGAGAGTATAACTTTTTTTATATGAGGGCCCCCTATAGCTGGTAGGCCCCCTCCCCCCGCAACGCAGGGTCCTGCGTCCAGTAGTTCCGCCACTGAAGTTAACTTTATAAAATACACGTTAAAGTGTTTTAAAATTATCTGAAAAAAGTTTACAAAATTTATTTTTAGTTTTTGTTGTTGATAAATCGGATTAATAATTTTAGTATAAAAATCGATGATTAAAATAAAAATAGATTTTAATCTATTTACCTAACATTTTATGATATCTTTTATAACTTAGTGTCTTCTTTCTTTTATAATTGACCCACTGCCCTCCCATTTCATATACACTATTTGCAGACCGGCTCTTCCCCTCCTTGAGCGTACGTATTTTATGGACGATCCCTAATTTTTTTTTTTTTTTTTTTTAGTTTATTAGTTTATTTCGCCGTTAAAAATATTTACAAAGTACAACAATATAAAAAGTACAATTGGCTGGAGCAAGAAGAAGGCATAAAATAGCCTTATCACCGAGCCCCAATAGTAACGCAAATAAATATCCGTAATACACAATAATCCGTAATATATAAGCAAAAGTATTTAAAAAAAGACAATTTAAAATGTTAAGAAACAAAGTTAAAAAGAAAAAAAGATAAAAAAAAAAAAAAGTATTAAAATAATTGAAGATAAAATAAAAAAAATAAAAAATTTCTGTTTTTGGTTATAAATTGGATGTGATTCGACATATATATTTGTATATATTATTTTCTTTTAAAATAGTTCAAAATTCAGATAAAAATTCTGTTCCAATATTATAAAATATATCAAGAAAATTGTAGGTAATTTTAAGAGAATATATATATTCAATGAAAGTATGATAAAGACATTGAAATTCTTAGTACTGTTAAATGGTCTAGATTTTTAAATTTATGGTGCTAATTTAGTTTAATAAATTTTAAAGCTTTAAAAGTGACATAAAAGATCTGCTATATTAAGATTCGTAAGTGCTAAATAACGTCTTAATTTAGATTTGAATTGCGGAAGTGTTTTTTCTTTAATATTAACAATATGCTGAAAGTTTTTCCACAAAATTGGACCCCTGTACTGAATTGAATAAGAACATAACTTTAGATTATACTTTTGAGTTACAAAGTTATTTTCTGAGAACTTGGTGGGGTATTTATGGCTTACTTCTCTAAAATAAGGATAGAATATCGCTAGAGACAGTCCATGTTTTATTTGATACATGAACTGTATGACGAGGAATATGTTAATTTTAAACACATTTAATGCATTGAGTTTACGTAAAAGTGGCTCACAAGGCACAGTTCTTTTAACTCCAAATACAATTCTACATGCATGCTTTTGTTTAGTATAAATTTTCTTTAACTTAGCGTAGCTGTTGCATGCCCATACGATATTGCCGTAAGTTAGATGTATGTATGAAGGAAAAATATAAACTTTTTAGAGATCTTATATCCAAGCATGGTTTTGCTTTATACATCATTGCAATGTTTATTGAAAGTTTTTTTTCAAGACTGTTTATATGTTTCCTCCATGTTAAATTTTCGTCTAAAATAATACCTAAAAAGTTTACAGTTGTTTGCCTAGTAATATTTATATTATTGATTTTAAGATTGGGTAATTTTAAAGGAAGGTTTCCTGTTTTGGTTGGTTTGTGAAATAGAATAAATTTAGTTTTGTTAATGTTAAGTGAAAGTTTATTACAAATAAACCATTCATTTACTTTGTTTACTTCTTCATTAACTACTTTAAAGAGGGTTTTAATATCCCTATGAGAATAAAACAGATTGGAGTCATCAGCAAACAAAATAAAGTTTAGTATGTTCGAGGTAAGAGATAGATCATTTATATAAAGAGAAAACAGTAACGGTCCTAAGATTGAGCCTTGAGGAACTCCACATTTTATTATACTTTTTGTCGTTTTAACATTTTCATATTGAATGTATTGCTGTCTGTTTGATAAGTAATCTTTAAACCATAGTAAATTATCGTTCTTTATTCCATAATGTTCAAGTTTTTTTAAAAGAATGACATGGTTGACTGTGTCAAAGGCTTTAGACAAATCAATAAATACTCCTAATGTAAAACGGTCATCATTAAAGGCATTGGTTACATGAGTTACTAACTCGGTCAAAGCGTGATCAGTTGAATGATTTTTTTTTAAGCC